CGTGAACCACTGGATGAATTAATTTATTGAAACGATCTGAAAGAGCTGATTTAAGTTTTGGAGTCAACTTCTTTGAAGATGGCCGCCACGGCTAATAAACCTTAGCAAACATAAATGGCTAAAAACCTACATTACTCTTGAATTTCCCCCCTGAGATTAATAAAGTATCTATATATAGACCTTGAGCTGAAACTCAGTGTGGTAGTAGCTGAGAGTTGTCCCTAACACACACTGGAGGACCACAAGGAGCATCACCAGGCCGTGGCGTAAAACAAACAATGCACTACTGATGTGATGACCAGAGCAAACTGAATATTTAGGACTGGGCTGATGAGGAAGTGGAAACACCTGGACGGACAAGAGACTAGGAACAGGTGAGAGTGGGCGTGGCAAGCTGACTGAGAGCAAGAGCTAAACTGACGGGGAGTGACTGAACACTCAAACAAGACTCAACATGCATCCATTCATTATCTTGAACACCTTCTTCCTTCTGGGTCATGGGGGACACTGGTGCCCGTATCCAGCAGTGGGGGACACCTGGGCAGGTCTGCAGTCCATCACAGAGACACATTGAGACAAACGAGACAAACAACCATTCTCTCTCTCACCTAGAGACAATTTAGAGTTACCAATCAGCCTAACATGCATGTTTTTGGTCTGTGGGAGGAAACTGGAGCACCTGGAGAGAACATGCAAACTCCACCCAGAAAGGCCCTCGGACCGGGGTTTGAATCGGGGTGACCTGTTCGCTGAGAAGCAGCAGCTCTACTGCACCACCGTGCTGCCCTAGCTTAAATATGCTACATACAAAATAAAATTAAAATTAAAAAACATATGCTGGCTGCTTTGAGTCTTTAAGGTTCAGTCTAATTTTGGAAACACACTGATTTAAAACAAAAAGTTTTGGCTTATCTTAATCCAAAGTTTTTTGGTGTATTTGTCCACAATGTTTATTTTAACCTTCCTTAAGTTTCATTGATAGAACGCTGGTTTTCATCAATGTATTTAAAAGTTGTTTTATTTTCAATTAAGGATATTCGGGGCCGGACGGAGATTGTCCAAGGGCCACGTTTTGGCCCTCGGACCATATGTTGCCCTTAGATATTGCTTAATCATATCTTTAACATAGAACACACAAAAGATTTGAACTATCCCTTTAAGCACTTTGTTTTAATACGACCGCTAACATCACCTGCTGGACACGAGGACCAGAAAATGGATCGATTGAATAAAATCTGTTTTTGTTTGTTTGTTTTCTGAATCAGCATCATTTCATCCGTTTAATTAAATCAAACAAAAATCCCAGATAATCCAGCTGAAGCACCTCCTGAGAGCAAAGCCTCATTATGTAAAGACAAGGAGTCGTTTCCCCTCAGGAGGCGCAGAAGATGGAAATCAAACCGTAAGGAAAGTGAATTTTTCAATTACATCTGCCAGATCGAGCCACAACTCGGAGGCAGAGTCGTTCCGTGTCCGCTGGACGCGAACGCGCCGCCTCGCGCGGCTCCGACTCCTCATCCAGCTCCAGGGCCCGTTTTATTAAACCCAACTCGGATGGATCAAATTAGGCAGAAGCTCTTCGAGACTCTGGACGACTCCTGGAAACAGAAGCCGTCCCTCTCTTTGGTCCTTCCTTCTCTCTGGGGCGGTCCAGTGACGCACCACAAACGGTATTTTTGGACAGGATGTTTTCTGGGCCACCTCAGACCGCCACCGTCCTCTGCGATGCCCTTCTCGAAGGATTCGGGGCTCCAGGATTTTTTATTTTATTTAATTCTCTCTTTTCCTCCTGCGGCGGTTTGTGCAGGGAGCAGCAGAGTAAAAATGTCTGGAGGACGCTGACTGGCGTTAATAATTAATCATGCCGGCTCGCTCTCCTGCACCTCCTCGTGCTGTCCTGAACCGGCTCTGGATAACATCTGTCTGGAGAGGCCGAGACTCGGCGCAGGCAGAAAGAATGCTTTCTCGCAGCACGTGCACCTCCCTCAGCAAATACAAATCCAATTATTAGATAAATCTGGGTTCCGGTGGAGCTCATTGGTATGCACGTGACGCTCCAGATGTGATTAACACTTTGGTGTTGTGGTGGAGCTCGCTGATTGTGTTCGCTGACCCTTAGCATGCTGCGAGATCATACTCCCCTTCAAGCAGAGGGGATAAAATCATTTCACCCCCATTAAAACCAACAAAGGGTGGATTTAAAACGTTCTGAAAGCTACACTTTTACTCATTTTCCAATTAACCTTTACAAGAGAAGTTGTTAGGGGTTTTTTTTTGGCTGGGGGCTACAAACACAAACTGCCTCGGTCTCTTTCATCTCTTCACCGCCACATGTGAAGCTCACAAATAAACGCAGATGTTGGCGAATCGGCTCCAACGATCGAGCCCCACGTGCTTCCTAAAAGAAACGGATTTTAAAAAAAGAGATGCAGAAACGCATTGGACTGATCTCCTGCAGGACTTGGACTCAGCTGCTCTGAGACACACAGAGTGTCTCTCTCGGTTTATTTACTGCCCGCTCCTGATGCACGGAGAGCGAACGTTTCTGCGTTTTCCATTTTCTACAATTCTGGCGTCCTGTTTCAGGAGGTCAGGGGTTGGAAGTGTTGCAGAACATAAATCACTCCAACAGAAGCCTTTTAAACAGCAGCGGAGCGGAGCTGGTGAACAAACAGCGTTATTAATCTTTCAGGAGATAGCATCTATTTGTCCTCCCGCGGCGCGCTCGTGCACGCAGGAGTGCGTTCATAAAGGCTAAAATGATGCACTTCCACACGGTGACCTTTACTATCCCTTTGTTTAGTTTTACACCGAGCAGCCGAGATAAGATTTGACAAAAAGAACCAAAGTATGAGGAGCTGCTCTGAAGTGTTCTTTTGTTGAGAGCTTTTCCACTTCCACCATTTATCATGTTGAATTAAACAAGCCCACCCAAACAGAAAGGAGCCACCTCCCCACTTCCAACGGGTTCACACCTGAGCGACTTCGGCTGTGGATCTCAAAGAGCCGAAGCCGTCTCTGCTCTGAAGGCATTTCACACTTAGAAGCTTCTCTCTTCCTCCTCTGTGTTCGGCACAACAAGAGAAAATCCTTCTCGCTCTTACAAGCCACGGTTTGTAACGTCAGATCACTCTAATCCCCATGGATTAAAAAAAGTCTTTCATTTAACAAATCGCCCCTTTAGAAGTCCAGATCCCTGAGTAATTATTCCTCCAGTGTAAGCCAGCCGTGAGAAGAGCACTTGACTGGAAGCTGCATTAAGTCCTCCACTGCGATCCATAGAAACTAATGGAACGGGCCTTTATAGAAACATCCCACACAGAATATCAAGTGGCAGCTTCAACCTTACATTCCTGCAGACACTCGCTTGGTTAGCTTCCAAAACTGAGAGAGATCAAATAACAGGACAATCTGAGGAGGGATGCTTCAAAACAAAATATCACCGTCAGCTGTGGGATAAGGTCAAAGATGGAAAGATTCAGGGCTGCAGCTCAGATCAGTTCATCTCAGCTCGTTGAACAAATTCTGAGTTCAGGTGCACAACAAACAGAAGCATTTATAGTTTGTAAGTTTGTTTTTTTTACCCCAGAGACTCAAAAAAGACTAAATCCACCACAGATGAGGCTTAATCTGTGCTCATGATCGTAAATAGTCAGATAATATCAACGATTTATCAATATGTCAGTATCTGAGATACAGGGTCAAATATTGGATGTCAGTATCCAATAATAAATTGTACTGGCAACTCTGATGTTCTGACATCAGATATTACAGTTTGATATCTAATATCAAATTATATTTGCAACTCTGATGCCAATACCCACACGATTTTTCAAATATCCGAGTAGAAAAATTTAACATTTAATATCAAGTGTCAATATTCAATGTTAATTATCACATATATTCATTATTAGATAGTACATGTGCATATCTGATAATAAATAGTATCAGTACCTCTGGTGTTTTTCTGTCATCAGATATTAAATATTACTCACATGATATGTAATATCAAATATTAATATTCAGTATCAAATATTGGATATGAAATTATATCTGTAACTTCAATATCAAATATCCAGAATTACCCATATCATTTTTTAAATATCTAACATCAGATGTGAAAACGTAATATGTGATATCAAGTGTCAATTTTCAATCAGATATTGCTATCAGTTATCAAATATTGGACGTCAATATCCAATAATAAAAAGCATCAGCAACTTGGATGATATCTAATGTCTGATAATTATATCCGATTTCAAATATTGGATATAAAATATCAAATTATATCTGCAGTTTAGTAAATATTATCAAATGTTACCCATTCAATAATTCAATTATTTGATATTGGAAAACCTCTTTCGATATCAGTATCTGGTATCAATAGTCAAGGTTAAATATTAGATGTCGCTATTCATGATCAAATATTGCATCACAAGTAACAAATTATATCTGCAACACTGATAGTATCAAATATCCAGTATTGCCCATGTTTTTTTTAAATATTGATATCAAGTATTAGTATTAGATCTTAAATATTACATACTGCTGTTCATTATCAAATATTGGACATCAGTTTCTAATAATAAATAGTATTGGCAGCTCCAGTTTAGGTACCTGATATTAAATATTGAATATTCTGAGCACAGTGACGAGCAGGCGCTGACCTGAGCAGCAGGTTCATTGAGTATTTGCAGAAACCCGAACGGATCAAGAACTCCCTGCTCACATCACTCCATAGTTGAGGAACAAGCTCATCTGGTTCACATTTCCATGTGCAACCAGGGGGACTTACAGGAAGTGTGTGACTTTGATAAATCAGATTTAGGGCGCACACACGGACACAAACAAAACGAGGTTGTCCAACTTCACGCCCTCTCCTCCTTTAACAGAAACCAGTCCCATCTCGCTCCGTTTGGGTCCAGAACCTTTCAAATCCGTTAAAAGCTGGTCTGTGTGCAGACATGGAGATGATCCGACAGACATGGAAACAGACTCACCAAAGAACATGCTGCTCTCCATAGCTCCTCAAGCTCCGGGGTTTGCTGTATTTCCTCTCTGGTGCCCTGCCAGTGTGTGTGTGTCCATGGGCAGCAGCCCCTGCATGTCTCATGCACTCCTCAGAGGTGTGTGTGTTCAGTCCAACAAGCAGCAGCCTCTGGTCTGAGCTCTGCACGCCGCTGCCGTCTGCTGCTTCTCTGACTCTCCTCGCTCTGGTCCTCCCTCGCCTCCTTCATCCCCTCCCCTCTGCTTTAGCTCTTCCTCCTCCTCCTCCTCCTCAAGCTGAATCTGTTTGCGTGTTTCTGCTCTCAGGTGCGTCTACATTTCCCTCCGCAGGTTCTTCTCGACATCTTTGCTTTCTGTCCCCTTCTTTGTTTTGTGTCAACCTCTTCCTGCGTCCGTCCATCCTTCACTTGATGCTTCTGCTCACTTCAGCAAACATTTACTCTTGTTCTTAGCTTTTCCTTGGCGTTTTGTTTTTTTACTTCATTTTCTAATTTGTTGCAGAATCAAAAGGTGGTCGTTGCAAACTCATGAAGATAGGACCAAAAAAATCCATCCGTCATCTTTACCCGCTTCTTCCTTTTCAGGTCACTGGTGCCATGTCCAGCAGTCACTGTGTGAGAGGTGGGGGACACCTGGACAGGTCTCCAGTCCATCACAGGGACACAGAGACAAACGAGACAACCATTCACTCTCTCTCACTCACACCTAGAGACAGTTCAGAGTTACCAATCAGCCTAACGTGCATGTTTTTGGTCTGTGGGAGGAAACCCATGCATGCACAGAAAGTAGGGCTGAACGGTTAATTGCATTTGCAATAATATCACAATGTGATAAAACGAGATTCTCTAATCGCAAAGGCTGTAATTTGACTGGTCATGTGATCCGGTCATGTGAGCGGAGCAGAGGTAACACCACAAATCTTTATCAACACTTAAAAAAACACCACAAAGACATTTACGATGGTTGCACGGCTAGAACGCCAACGACCGGTGCTTCAGCTTCAAGTCAGCAATCAGCCGACAGGATCACTGAGCGAACTGTTCCAAGGTGTTCCTCCGTGTGAACATGATTCAAAACGACACGCAGAAATAACTCGAGCACTAACGAAGTTCATAGTGAAAAACATGATGCCCGTTAATAGTGACCAAGCCTGGGCTTTGGTAAACACAATGGATAAGCGGTACAGAATGCCCTCGTGCACACATTTTAGCCAAGTTGCTATTCTGGAGCTATATAAAAAAAATGTAGAGGCAGAGTTGCAGCGGAGATTTTTGCAACTGAAACAGATTGATCGCTTGTGTTTGTTGAAAAATAATCGCATATTAAATCGATGAATGAAGGGAAAAAAAAACAAAAAAACATAATCGCAATATTTTCCTAAATCGTTCAGCCATAACGGAGAGAACATGCAAACTCCACCCAGAAAGCTCCCCGGCTGGGATTTGAACAGGCGACCTTCTCGCTGAAGGGCAACAGCTCTACCAACTGCTCCACCGTTCTGCCAATAAATAAATAAATAAAAACAAAATCATAAAGTTGTATTTTTTCCTCATATGGGGGAGTGGTGGTGCAAAGGTTAGAGAAGATGGGCCTGCGATCATGATCAGAAAGTTGCAGGTTCGACTCCCGGTACAGTCAACGTCAAAATATGGGTGGAAAAGATGAAACCTGCCTCCACCCTCATTCGCCCCACTCTGGGCTTCTGAACAAGGCCCTTAACCCCCCCACCCCCACCCCCACTATCTGCCCCCTAAAACTGAGTTCTCGTGACTCAATGAGACTACCTGTGTAAATAAAGGGTAAATGAAACAAAAAGCAATTTACTTAATAAAAACAGCTCAAATGCCTGAAAATAGAACAGTAATCTTGTCGGCCATCTTTGTTTACCCACACAGACCTGGGTTCATCACGTGACTCGAGCGTCCAGCTGGTTGTCAGTAGTTTGTTTACATCGAGCGCAGACCTGCACGTCAACAAATCTGGAAAACTACTTGAGTAAATTATTTCAGAATGCACCATTTGATATAGTTCAGGATATTCTTTTCTTTACATTAAATCATTTTTGCGACGAACGCCTTAAAGTTCAGTTGGAACTTGTGCAAAGTATAAACGCTCAACTTTAATTTGCATTAAAAACTGAACTCAAAGTGTTTCAGTCATTTTAAGAATGTTTAAAATGCAGCAGTTGGAATTTTTTTTAATCTACTTTACAATAACGTGCAGAGTTTGATAGACCAGCAATTCTTTTTAAGATGTGGAACGTTTTAATATCTTCAATCTTCTTTTTTGTTGTTTTAAAGCTGCTCTACAGCTGATTGTAAAGTTTTGTCTCAGGTTAGCCATCATTATTTGAACTCGAACATAAATGACTCGAACATAAATGACTCAAACATAAGTGACTCGAACATAAGTGACTCGAACATAAGTGACTCAAACATAAGTGACTCGAACATAAATGACTAAAAACAAATGACTCAAACATAAGTGACTCGAACATAAGTGACTCGAACATAAGTGACTCGAACATAAGTGACTCGAACATAAGTGACTCAAACATAAGTGACTCAAACATAAGTGACTCGAACATAAATGACTAAAAACAAATGACTCAAACATAAATGACTCGAACATAAGTGACTCGAACATAAATGACTCGAAAATAAGTGACTCGAACATAAATGACTCGAACATAAGTGACTCGAAAATAAGTGACTCAAACATAAGTGACTCGAACATAAATGACTAAAAACAAATGACTCAAACATAAGTGACTCGAACATAAATGACTAAAAACAAATGACTCAAACATAAGTGACTTGAACATAAGTGACTTGAACATAAATGACTAAAAACAAATGACTCAAACATAAATGACTAACATAAATGACTCGAACACAAGTGACTCAAACACAAATGACTCGAACATAAATGACTCAAACATAAATGACTCAAACATAAATGACTCAAACATAAAGGACTCAAACATAAAGGACTCAAATATAAGACTCAAACATACAGGACTTGAACAATGAAGCGAACATAAATGACTCAAACACAAATGACTCAAACATAAATGACTCAAACATAAATGACTCGAACATAAATGAATCAAACATAAATGAATCAAACATAAGTGACTCAAACATAATGACTCAAACACAAATGACTCAAACATAAATGACTCAAACACAAATGACTCAAACATAAGTGACTCGAACATAAATGACTCAAACATAAATGACTCGAACATAAGTGACTCAAACATAAATGACTCAAACATAAATGAATCAAACATAAGTGACTCAAACATAATGACTCGAACACAAATGACTCGAACACAAATGACTCAAACACAAATGACTCAAACACAAATGACTCAAACATAAATGACTCAAACATAAATGACTTGAACAATGACGCGAACATAAATGACTCAAACACAAATGACTCAAACATAAATGACTCAAACACAAATGACTCAAACATAAGTGACTCGAACATAAATGAATCAAACATAAATGACTCGAACATGCATGCAGCGACATGATCAGTTATTTTTGAGTAAGGCAAACCAACAAGCTGATCAGAGTATAATCCATGTTTGGATGAATTATGGATAATTATTATATTAATCATAGGAAGAGAACCAGAACCGTGACTCCTTATTGTTGAACAGATCTTTAAGGAAGTCCTGCGTGAGGCGAGTCTGTTTCTAGTTCTTATTAGCATCATGTTGTTTTTATTGTATTTGCTGGAGAATCTGAGCTCGTTAGATGTTCATGAAAGAACAGATTTATTGATCCTTTGTGTTTAAGTCTTGCTCAGCATCAGTTATTTAAAGCTACGTGAACTGATCGTGCTGTTCAGTCTCCCGTGTAAAATCAAACGGTTGATCATATAATTACAGGCGTCACGTTGGTTATTAACTTGACGTTAAAGAAATGTGATTACAGGAATGAGGTGACAGTAAGAGCCCTGATTAAATCAGGCTTTTGTCTTTTCTGGCCTCTTCCTCCTCCTCCTCTTCCTCGTTGACACTCACACTTTTGTTTTTTCTCAAACACTTTTAATCCCAGAGCGTCTTTTGTTGTTTCATTTCACTCCCATCTGTCTTTTCCTTTCTCTTACTCGCCCTCTTTTCATGTGATCCTGTTATTTATTTATTTATTGTCTCTTCGGCTGGTTTGTAATCAGACTCAACAGGCGCCGATACCAGGCTGCTGCTCCGATCCTGCAGCCACGAGACACGGCTGCTCTTTTATCTTTAGTGTTCACAGACACACAAAGGCTCGCAGCATCTTCAGGCACCAACACTGAGAGCATCCTTCACACCGGCTCAGATCTGCAACACGAAGACGCTCAGGAGAAATCTGCCACAGGCAGCTTGAAGAGGCAGACACGCGAGGAAACACGACAAATTAGCAACGACGAACACGTCGACAAATGTCCCGATGACAGAAAAATATCACCTACAGAAAAATCACAACAAATCAAACAAGAACCACACAATTAGTCGCACTCTTTATCCCTTATTGTAGGTTTTGCACAAAAAAAGTATTTTTTGTTGTTGTAATTAATCAATTTAAAAGGTTTGACCAACTAAACCTTGATTTGTTACATTTTATTTAAAGTCATTTAAATGCAGAGCATTCCTTGAATAACATGTTGTCCTCAAACAATTTAAACAGAAAAAATCATTTTTGTGCTGAATTCAGCCATTTTGTCAAATCTTGACAATAACGCCATAATCTCATACAATCTGTTAATTCTTGGAATATGTGATGTGGAATCTCCTCAGCTACTACCACATCAAATTACAGCTCAAAATCTGACGAGTTATAGTCATGTATATGTTACACGGATGGTCTGTGGCAACAATCTTAGACCAGATTGGCCCGGTTAGTGGCTCGTGAAATATTTTACTAACAGACAAACTAAGAAACACACTCAGAGGCCACTACAGAATCACCTGCCTTTCATGGTGGCAGGCGACGGAAAAGAAGTTTGTTTGAAATTTGCTG